ATACACAACCGTGGTTAGGGTGACCCTTTTCCAAAAATTCGAGAAATCCGATTCTAGCTCCGTGTTTCTTACGGCCTATTACTACTACTACCACCATTACTACCTTTTTGGAGTCGTTCCTCTTCGCCCAGTAGACTTCTACACAGAACCGGCTTGAAGAACACTACGACCGGCTTTTTGAGACACGTATTACATATACCTTTCCGTAACAAAACTCCAACGCAGCAACAGCCAGCCTACATATTGATAAAGAAAAATAAACGCGCCTAGGGAGCACACCCGTGGTCGACGTTTAGCTTCTCGAAGAGCTTTCAAGCTTTGCCCAACTAGTACGCTCTGGTTACTAAGCGCGCCTTCTAAAGCTCCCCGAAGTGCATCGTGCGAAGATAAAAGGAGGATAAGGAAGTCGAATCGGTCGAAAGAATCAAGCGAGGCGGATCGACGACCTTTACGCTACCTTGTCACTCGAAGAAAAGCAGGTCGGCCGTGAAAGAAGCCAGCATCGCCTAAACAAACCAACTCCAGAGCCTAATCGCTGTCGATATATACATATATATATATATACACACACACGATACGCGTGCACGCGTGTGTACCGCCTCCTTATACCACGTCACTTTCTTTCTTGGTGAAATTCTCCTTCGCCTTCTTTTCTGCGCGCGCGCGGAGAGTACTCGCGTTCCTCTTCCCCCGTATTGCAATTGCTGCAGCTCTGTAACCTTGCTCTTGATCTACGTGCATCGTCCAGCGGTGAAACCACCATCTCGCCTTCGAATTGTAGCTGGAATTGAAGAAAAAGCAAAAAGCAAATCAGGCAGCAGCGCAACGACACGAGAAAAGAAAGGAAGGAACAAGCTCTCTTTCTCTCTTCCGCTAACCGCTAACAGGCAAACACAGCACTTGCTGCACTGTCTCTCAGTTACGACTAACTGCTGCGATCGATAACAACTGTGTTTGATAAAGAGCAACAAGCCGATAACGGTGTGTGATTATCACGGTCTAAAAATAGTTTAGAATCGCTCGTATACCCGGCGCTGACAATCGCGAGCCTTTTACATACGGTGTTCGATAATACGCGACAACGAATAGTAGGCAAATAATAAGAAAGGAAAGGAGAAGAAGAAGAACGATTTTAACGGCGGGTTTCGTTCGCGGTTGAAGATTCGAATAAGTAATCTTTGCTCGTATCGTCGTCCGGTTCCGCGTGTTTTACGTGATTCGTCTACATTGAAGATCATCCGAGCTTTGGAAGACATTTGCTGTTTGCCGAGGGACGCGTTCATGGAACAATAAGATCGCACTCTACTCAAAGAAACACTACTTGCGAAAGGTACCACATTTATCATAGTATCGCAACTCGAGGCACTTACGGGATTTCGATGAGCGTTCGTGTGAATAATACGAATGAACTTGAAGCGAATCTTCTCGGATCCTCTCTTACGTGAAACGTTCGCTTAAAACTCTGGTATGCCGGTATACTTTTGCCAACTTTAATTTTGATCGTGTTCAAATGCCTCTCCGTATAAAGTCGTCTCGATTCGACAATTGAACGCTTCGATCCATCGAAGTCGTCTCATTGACGAAGAACAAAGCGAGCGAAAGCGGACGCTTCCTATGTTATATACAATACACCGGTGGTATGTGTGCATGAATGAAAGGTCTGGAGTGATTGAAAACGGAAGCGTTGTGACGTACAAGGGTCGGTGAAAGAGTAAGAGTGTGAAAGATAACGAGCGTCTGTCTCTCAGTTCGACGAAATTCCCGCAAGTGCCAATGAGTCGAGGGCCGGTTTGAATAAAGCAAAACAATTGTGTTCCTTGGCAAGATCAGACGGTGCGAGTGGAACGTGAACATACAGGCAAGGCTACTGGCGGAGCACACGTCCAGCCAGAGGAAGAGGAGAAATTAAAGTCGGCAGAAAAGCCAGACTTTGCGTTAGCCCGCCTAAGGAGTCCCTTGGTCTTCCAGGACTGGAAGTATGGCAATGGTCAACATGAATAACCTACTGAACGGCAAGGATCCCCGGTGGCTGCAACTGGAGGTTTGCAGGGAGTTCCAGCGCAACAAGTGTACCAGGCCGGACACGGAGTGCAAGTTCGCTCATCCGCCAGCTAACGTCGAGGTGCAGAATGGACGGGTCACTGCTTGCTACGACAGTATCAAGGTAACAAACCATTGTATAATCGAGTTCATACAATCCCGGATAATCGAACCTTTCGGCTACTTCTCGTAGCTGCTGAGCATTATCCTCTTTTTTCATCTTGTACACATGCATTTATACTACTATGTATATTTATACTATGTTCATTTGTGTCATCTGTGTGTCTATAATCATCTATTACGCGTCAGCATGGAACCTTATCGTCTGTTGAACTCGCGAAGTATTTGTACACGCTGTTCCAGGATTTCTCGATCAATCTCGGGAAATATGTTCGACAAGTGGAAATACGAAAAGAACGTTGTGTAAATAGGAATCGTTTCGAGGTTTATTAAGAAAATTGTAACAGTCGTATGAAATTCGAACGAAACGGCGACAAGCGGACACAACGTGTGGCTTACATTTTCAAATAGAAAATCATTCCAGCTAATTTGCTTCGGGAAAAAAGTGAACTCATTATTGTACAAATTTTTTATTTTTTATCGTTCGTTTATTTCATACTTTCTCGTTTGATTTTTTCACGGAACCTCGACCACGACCTACAGTTACGCATGTTTCTAGTCCTGCCCGTAGAACATGCTGACGAAGTTTGGCCGGAAAATTCTGGGACACCATGCGTAATCGATTCGTCCTGCAATTTACTTTTCTCGTTAAACTCCTCGAGGCCTTCTGTCGAAATTCATCCCGGGCACTTCTAATTTCGCGTAACGAATAGGCAATAAAGCCGACGCCGTGTAAATTTTTCTCAGAACAAGCACGCATGCGTTTACACGTCGGAGGAGCTCGCGATTAAACGAGAAAGAACGAAAAAAGATATGAGCAGGGCGCGGCCCGAACATTTCGCCTTCCGTCGCGGCGATATTGAATTTGAAAATTGAATTTTGCAGTTATTAATAGCGACAATTACTCAACGCGTCATCGGGACGGATTGAAGAAACGCTCGATAAATCCGACGAGTCAGAACCGATCTTGAGAGGGAGGAACGTTGGGTAAAAATTGGAAATCCTCTTGTTAATAGTCTGACACAAAGTTTACGGAAACTTTACTGTACGACGACGCGCGTGTACGCGTTTCTGCGATTAGATAAAACGGGAGGAAACATTCTGGGCGCGTCGAACAACCACGATCAAATGTTATTTCCTCTGGAAGGCGTTTCAAGGTTTTCAAGATTTGTTGTTACCGATTATACCTTCAAGTTTAACGGTTTCTCAGTTGAGAAATATCAAGGAGAAGTTTATATGATCTTTTTTTTTTGGAGATTGTTATCACCTTACGTTGTTAAAATACAGGATTGGAATTTTCGCAGAAAATTTATTCTCTCAGTGGTATATTTCTTTGTACGAGAAAAATTGACATTATTACCTATCCTAAGAAACATGTTGCTCGTTATTCCGTCGTAAGGAGAAATGTTACAAACAAACAGTAACTCGATTCATATGTACAAGCATTACAGAATTATCTCTGAGCGAATATTTCGCGCAACTCCGTAATAAATTTAACCAACTATCGGATCGGTAATTGCTTCGTCAAGTTGGAGCATGTGCTAACCAAAAGTTCAGAATCACTGTACATTGCAAGACAGCCTAAAATATTGCAATATTAATTTAAAATCGACAGAAGAATTGTTACGATATTCCGTACAGTTAAAATTAGGCAAGTTTTTTTTTATGTAATCCTCGGTTATTTGTTATCTGTTAAAATTAAAAAGAAGCGAACGTCTTAATTTCGACGTATATAATAATAAATTACAGATACGTTGTCCATTGGCTTGTATCTTATTTGCTTAACAATATAAAGTAACATCATGATAGTCTTCAAATCTATTTCTGTTGCCTAAGGGTTTCAAGCGTTTGGGCCTACGAGTACCCAAGGATTCTTCCAAAAGTGTGGCTGACATAGTAATCTATTGGAATACTTTACATATTTCCTTTTTTATTTGTGATACATATTTGGTAATTTTTTCTTAATGTAGTATTATTATTCAAAATTGTTTAACCGGTCATTCTAAAATTTTAATATTCGGGAAAAGCGAGGACCCTCGCACTTTAATGCCACAAGTTCATAGTAGGTTAACGGAAAGTTTGGATTTGAATGATAGTGGCCATTCCTTACACCAGTTCCAAGCTGTTCCTTCTTTTGTCAGGCATGTTCTTTCTACGTGAATTTTTCCACTGAATAAACACCAAAGTATTTAACGGAATCCGTTTGTAGCTTCGTTTAGCATTCCAGCAGGACATGTTTCTCTTCTCAGTATGAAAATTTCGCAAGTTGATTTGTTTTCGTCGTTTCAATCGACTGGATGAGTGATTCCAAAATTTTCATCGACAGCGTCGAAGTAACATATTGCGTAAAATGAGGGACTTGCGCCGTGCGCAAATGTTGAGACTTGCACGAAAGAACAGGGACACACGCGAAAGAACGACCTGGCTCAATTTTTCCCGACTTAGCTTCATTCTCTCTCTTCCTCTCTCTCTTTCGGTTTGCGAAATTAAGTTCTATGATTAAACGGTTAGATTATTCTTGCTGTCGGTGGCCGCGACGATAGAGAGCGGCATGCTGCGTACGACGACGGTGTACGTCAACGTCGACAATGATGTATATGTCGGTACGTGAGTCGAGCCACGTTGCCGACTCTGTCGTTTAATTCTGGAAGCTATTAATGTCGGTGGAGACCCGGCTGAAAGGCCGCCGTTGTCCGTCGATGCTCGGTCATCTCTTTGCCTCGTTTGCTGCTCGCACGTTCTTACTCAATAGTGGCACTCGTTACGTTGAATCGTTTCGACCGAATAGAACAGCACGTTTGTACGGGCGCGCGTTTAATCTGGCTCCGTGCTTGTGCACTGTGTACACGTTTGTACCTGATTACCGGTACACGCAACAGCTCGTTGCGCTACTATTCTTTTTCACATACTAGATGCTGACGATCGATCGGATTTTGAGAATGCCTTGGCACGTTCTGTGCTACGTTGATTATTTAACACGTTCCGTGCCGCGTGGGTCGCATACGCCCCACTCTGGCCTTTCCGTTCGGCCTTTTCCTTCCGCTAACTTAAACTACGGCGATAATTTGTTAAAACAAACATTTTTCCTTTGCTCTATAGCATATCTTAAGCGTTACCTTTGTCTCGATAACAATGATTTTTGCAATTTTATAAATATTGGAAGACATATAGGGCGAAGAGCAAAACTGTTAGTCTCGACAATGTGGGACGCATACGACCCACGCGGCGTGAACGGAAAGTCGACCGAAAATCGGTCTGGCACGGAACGTGTTAATGAGCAGTGATAGTCTGTATCAATGGTAAAAGTTAGATTGGCTAAAGAAAGGTATTTTCCATTCAGTTCTCTGATAAGAGAACTTCGGTACTCCGAAAATTCGAATTGTTTTAAAACTTTGCAGGTTTGTAGGGGATCTCAACTTTTTTTTCTTATTTTTTGGTTCCTCAGAGTGAAAATACCCCTTAAAGTTTAGGTGTTTCCCTATTTTTCTGTACGCCTCGAAAACTGTAGTAGATATAAAGAAATTGTTAAAATGAAAATTTAACGCATATTTTTGAACAAGATGAAAATTTTTTAAAATAAAGCTGGTGGAGAATGGTTTTTTACTTACGCGACAAATTGTTAACAATTTCATTGCAGTTTTATAGAACATAAAAGCCATTTAATTTTCATACTAACAATTTTTTTTATATTTACTACTTATAGTTTGAAGGTATACCTACAGGAAAATAGAACACACATTAACCTTTAAGAGGTGTTTTCATTCTGAAAAAACTAGCAGAAAAAAATTGCCTGATACTTTTATTAAGGTCCCTTACTGCTAAGTTTAAAAGAAATCGGAATGTCGGGTTACTGAAATTCTCTTGTCAGTGGTAGTGTTGCCATCAGAAAGGGGATGATTCTCTGGAAAAAACAATTTTTATTTATTGTTTATTATTATTCATATTATTGGCATCGATGGCGATATTGAAAAGTTCTTAATTAAGTCAAAAAATTAGGAAACTAAAACGAATGCTTTAATCCTTTGAGAAAATGTCTGTACAAGATATGCGGTGGACATTATAGAAATATTTATAATATAGCTAATGAAACAAAGTTAGGAAAATCTGCTTTATTATTTAAAGTACATCACTTTAATGCTTATAAATATGGATAATCCTAATATGGATAAAAAGTAGTCAAATAAAATAAAATAATATCACAACAGTTATGCATATATAATGGTTTTGAAAATTTTCTTGGAAAGTAGGTCTCCAAAACCTTATTCACTAATTTCGAGTTATTTTTTTTTTTATAGAGTGACCTTTTGTATTTTTTTGAACATCAAAGTGTCAAAAATTCAGCCCTGTCATTATTTTTCTTCATTCGCACATTTTAATGTAAGTTTTTGACCTCCTTTTGTAGTTCCACCGAAATACTTAATTTTCTCTTTTCCATAGTCTTTGGATTTCTTTCGTTGCAATCAACTCTAAAAAAAAGTCAATAAGATTATAATATTGGCATTTTGTACTTGTATTTACCGATATTTTAACTGCTTAATGGAAAACTCGCTGCCTGTTATCATCATCCGGTTCAGAAATAAATATTTAACAAGCTGGTGTTAATTAGAAATACGATATTCGAAACTTTGCACAATTTTTCTAGCTTTGACAGGCCGCGATGAAAGAACATTTCGAATATTTACTAAAAGTGGTGGAGAACATGGAGAGAAGTATGGTCAACGTTTGTGCATGATACATTTGTAACATGTTTTCAATGCTCCAACATTTCAAAGGTACAAAAATCAAAAGCTCAAGTTTTTCGAACCTGCAAAGTGGAAACGTAGAAATACATAGTGGTAGGTAATATCAATGTAAATCTTGTAAAAATTACAGATACGACGTTGTATTCTCGTTATATAAGCATTTAATTGTCTTCAATCCACCTGGTGGACCGTGTAAGCCGCGAATACATCGGCACGAATGGTAATGGAAGACGAACGAAGGGTTTCTTAGGGCCCTCCACGAAATATAAGAGGAACTTGTAGCTAGAGAGGCGCGAACCAATATTACTTGGAAGAAATATTAGCAATAAACCATTGCATTAGGTATATAGACGGGGATTTTGGCCGACTGTGTGGGAAACCATCCCGTCTTCTCTCTATAGAGTCTGCCGCCGTCCCGTTTCTTTGCGCCGTTTAGGTGGTAGAAGTGCGGCTCTCCTTACGCTCCACCGATGAAATAAAGGCTCATTTTTCGAGGCGAGGATAAAAGGGGGAACCGGGCTATTGCCGTTTCGTACATCTACCATCCGCGTTTAATGTTCGAGAGTATCGTACGGTAAAAGTTAGATTAATTTGCTGGAAGGAAGAAAATCGGGACTATTCTTTCGCGTGCTATCGGGGGAATCGCTAAGAGGGTTCATGACGCGTAAGAAACGATCCCGTCCACGAGAGGGGGGGATTATCCCCATGCGCGTTGTAATTCATGTGGTCGTACGAATTGTATACACGGATTCTTCCACGATATAAACTTTCAATCGAATTTGTAATTAATACTAGTTCTTTTTGTCCTTGTCAGATAGATAATTAGAGCAGGCACACAGGGAGGATTCTAAGGCGGCTCTAAACGGTTGTAAAACAGTGTCCTACGGTTGTACACGTGGATATACATCTATATAAAGGGACATTACGATCTGCCAGGCCGCGTCGCCGTGAAATTCGTACGTTCGATTCCAATTAGGCCAATTGGATGAGAGCAGGATATTAAAGTAGACCTCCGGGCTTAATTGTCGTCGTTCTCCACTCTGTTTCGTCAGAATATAAATATCGGACGCGGTTAGATGGAGGGGGCCTGTATTTAAGGCGGGATATGACCGAGTTAGAGCGCCGATGTTCCGTCGATCTGGGTGTCGTTTCTCGATCGTCTTTGTCTCCCGGGGCTATTTCCGCCCT